ATATATATGCATATGTCAACTTAATCCAATCCAATTTACCCACGACCCTGTTGAGGATGATAAAAATGGATGAACGGAAATGAAAATGCCCTTAGTTTTCGTTTCAACAACTAATCAGAAGCTTTACTCTTGCCAATGATGTCCTCAAAAAAATCTCTGCTTCTATTTGTTCATGGCTTTCTTTGAGATCGCTTAGCTGAGCGCTGCTCCTCCAAAGTAAATTCTTTCAAATCTATGGCAGATGGTCAACAAACACGCAAATTTATCCGTTCGCCGGCCGGCCCATCGGGCGTCCTACTGACGACGTCATGCGCTGCAAAGAGTTCGCTGATGGAGTGCGGCCGTGACGCTCCGAAATGTAACCACTGACGAGTGGACGACTGCTAGGCTGCGCGATGACCAGGACCGGCCCTGAAATATGGCGGCCCCTCGAGAAATGTCCATTTTTTTTCCTGAAATTCCCGATGGCCACCCCGTGCGTCACTACACGCTTGCTACGGAAGCAGTATGGTGCATTCAATGTACTTTTCCAATGTCAGGAATTTACAAACACAATTTGCCACAAGAATTGTTTTTCTTCGATTATGTTTTAAAACCCAAGAGGACTCAAGTCAAAAGTGAAATCAGTGAACCTTGATACACAAACACACATGGACAGGATGAAACACACACACACACACACACACACACACACACACACACACACACACACACACACACACACACACACACACACACTAACTGTGATCCACGCACGCACACAGGCCAAAGAATACATGAAGAACATTCATGGGTGTGTGGCAAAACAAGACTTTCCCCGCAGCCATGGCTGACCACTTACGGCCAAATTAAGCAAGTTTGGCGGAGCTTCACGCCCTACTTCCTGTCTAATTAAAAAGGCGGCTTGTTTTTAATTAGTGCCGACTCAAACTTGTATGTCGGCGCCTTCTGAGGTAGGAAGTTTTCACCGGAGAGCGGCGTACATGGTCGTTAGATCAGCAATTACCATGGCAACAGAGCCCACCGCAAACCACGCACAAATCACAGATGCACGCCCTGACTTAAGAGTTTCATTGATTCCACGTAATTCAATGGATGTCATTCCCATCTACAGGTTTTTACGTCATACGGGCAAGTCGGAATTTAGAGTTGCGCGCCTTCGGTGTCGTTTCACGTTGTGCCACAACATTCTGGGCACTGCAGAGCTGTAATAGAAGGCATGCAGTAAAATTAACAAGAAGAAGAAGAGGCAGGGCTGGAGAAAAAAAAACAAAGGCAGATTCGGAATCAGCACAAAAAATGTTTACTGACATCCCTCAACAAAAACAATCGCTAAAAATTTGCTGACCCGTGTAATTGTCATTCCTCCCACGTTCCAGGGAGAAAATATGATTGTGAGTATTGTAGTCTCTTCAATTTTTTTATGTGTTGCTGCGTGCATGTGTTAAAGTGGCGGAAACTTTGAAACTTTATAATTACTCTGTTGACTGTTCTGCTATTTTTTTTAGCGTGTCTATGGTGTTTCACATTATATGTTAGCATTAAGCTAGCGGAGTCTATACGGCGCAGATTTTCACCTGCTGGCATAATTTGTTCATTGGATGCGCAGCAATGTTGATGGGCAACGCCTTCCTTCTTTCCTTCCTTCCTTCCTTCCTTCCTTCCTTCCTTCCTTCCTTTCTTTCCTTCCTTCCTTCCTCACCCTTGCTTATATTTTCTCTCGAGTGCTCCACTTATTTGTTCCTCTCCCCTGACTTTTATCACTTGAATCTTGTGCCAGACTTGCACTGGGAGCTCATTCAAACAGTGAGGACAAACAAAAGATGTGACAAGTAAACACAAGCGATCTGGAGGGCCGGGAAGGACGAGGAGAAGGGGGTGTGTGGGATGTGGGGGTGGTGGTGGTGGGACATTGACTTACGACAAGGGTCCTGAAGCCAGTGAAATTGAATTAAGATCAAAATAAGAGTGGCCGGATGGAGAGGGACAATTTGTTGAGGATGAGGAACAGGAAGGGGAAACCGAGTCAACAAGGAGAGAAAGGGCAAAAGAATCAGCTGCAGCAAGCTAATTTGGAAAACGTCAAGGCTGCTTGAGGCTTCATACATTAAAGACCCAGATGCTAAGTAGAAGCAGAGAGCACTTGAGAAAAGGACAAGAGGACTAAAGCCGAGGCAGGATTTCAGCCTTCTCGCTCCAGACACTACCTACAATCATGCTTTGACTTTTTTTTTTCTTCAGTGAACTTAAAATTAAAAAAAAAAAAAAAAACTCCCAAAAGTCATCTGCAAGACGATGCAAAATACCGCAGCACTGGCAACCGAATCCAAAGCGATTCTCAATTCCTTCTCCTCAAGGAGCGAGAAGCTCGTTACGGAAGAGCGTGCGCTAGAGATGATGACAAGTCAACGCTGGGGAGGGATAAAAAGAGCAAGGGCTCACGGGATCTCGCTAATGAGGGAACATTTCAAGCATCCTTAAACCCCAAACGCACCACTTGATCGCACGGATGAAACGGTACACAAACAAAGAGAAATAACCAAATATATGAAGCAAAAAAAAAAAATAACCCACAAAGTGGGGTCACAAAAGTATTCCGGGACTCACAAAACTTCGATGCCATTTCATGCTTTGCTAAAAGCGCTCATCCTCTTGATGAAACACTTATTTTGGACCGTAGGTGGACCTAATTAAGTGGCCGTTAGCTTGTAGCGCTTCACCAGTGAGCAACATGCGCACAGTTTTGGCCAAAATTTGCCACTCACATGGTCTCGTCATTTTGGAACTCCAGCTTGCCCGCCGCCGGCTCGTAGTCCTCGCCCGCCCTGGCCGTGGCATCCAGCGTGCGGTAGGGGACGGCCACCAGCCCCCGAGCCCCCGACGTCCGGAGCACCTTCACCTCCATCACGCCCACGCTCTCGCTCACCCGCTGAGTGCTGCTCTCGAAGGTGAAGATACCTGAAGAGCGAGGCCGAGGAGGATGAGGAGGAGGAATTAAAAACTCCTGATAAAAGGTGATCAAAGCGGGAGAGCGGACACCCCCACATCACACGGGTGGCTCCCCTGTGTTTTGAAACATTGTAGAAGCTTTGATGACATCCCAGCAGAACAGTGACGCCGGTGATCAAACACTTGGCTTTCCACAGGCGCAAAACCAATTTCAATGCTGTCTTCAGTTTCTTTTCCCATTAGCTGATTTCAAATTAGTTAGAATTACACCAGGTTACTTGCTTGAGACAAAAAGAGGCAATTTTACCTCTTGTTGTTTCATTAATTCCACTAAAAAATTATGTGGTACAATTTAGGAGTCAATGACACCTCATTGCCTTTGCATTAGGCCAATTAAAATCTCCGGGTTCAACAAAAATGCAATGGATTGGGAGGAAAAAAAAAATTTTAAACGACCTACATGCATAGATATAAGCTTCATTCTAATGTTTGTAACAACGTTGGAAATTTTTATTTGCATTATTAAATCAGTGATTCTTTTTTGCGCGGCACGGTGGGCGACTGGTGAACACGTCCGCCTCACAATGCAAAGGTGCAGGGATCGATTCCTTCCTGTGTGGGGTTTGCATGCTCTCCCCGTGCCTGCGTGGGTTTTCTCCAGGTACTCCGGTTTCCTCCCACATTCCAAAAACATGCGTGGTAGGTTGATGGAACACTCTAAATTGTCCCCAGGTGTGAGTGTGAGCGAGAATGATTATTTCTCTGTGTGTGCCCTGTGATTGGCTGGCAATCAGTCGGGTATACCCCGCCTACTTCCCCGAAACAGCTGGGATAGGTTCCAGCACGCCCGCGACCCTCGTGAGGATCAGCAGATAAGAACACGGATGGATGGATGATTCTTCCACGTACCACTAGAGGGCGCCAAATTTTGTGAATCCCTGTCTTGGGGAATGAAGCTGTCGTTTGCAAAAATGAAAGGCGTAATATTCTGACTATATTGTTAAATTATGACTTTCTTCCCTCTTTAGCTATAATGACATAATATTAATTTCTTAAAAACTTGAATTTCTTCCCTGTAAAGGGGTTTCTGGACCCAAAAATTTGGAAACCCACGAATGAGGTCACAATACTTTCTCCCACATTCCAAACTCATGCAAGTTAATTTGGGTGAAGACGTGAAATTGAGGTGAGCTTGAAAACGTCTTAATCTATATGTGCCTTGCGATTGGCTGACGTGACGAAGCGATGCCTTACCAGCGTGGTCGTCATCATAAATGGTCACGGTGGCTGTGTGGTTGTCACCCAGCACAGCTTTGGGGGCGGAGCCAGCATCAAGCGGGGAGGTGCTAATCTCGGGGTAGCCCACCAATCTGGGGTTGCTTAGGTGCACGTAGAAGTACTCATCCTCCTCGAAGATGTCGTCATCAATCACCCCCACAGTGATTTCTGCCAACGGAATTTCCAAATGTTGGTATAGCCGGGGGGGGGGGGGGGGGGGTTTTTTTTTTCAATCGTCTACCTTTGAGGGTCTCGCCCGGCTTGAACAGAAGCGTTCCCTCGGCAAACTCGTAGTCAGAGCCTGCGTTGGCTGTGCCGTCCTCGGTGCGGTAGTCCACCTGGAGGCAGGAGGAAGACCGGAGGATGACGGTGTGAGATGGGAGGTGAGGAAAATATCACGGTTGGATATGTGCTTCACACACACACACACACACACACACACACACACACACACACACACACACACACACACACACACACATCATCCTTGGCTCACCTTGACGGTGACGGAAGCGTCCCCCCCATGTCTGGAGACGGTCAGGTTAAGAGAGCCGCAGTTTTCAAAGCACTGGTACAAAGCAGGCTGAAATTCCAGCCTAACCGTGTGCGGGTCATCTTCTTGGGCTTGGGTCTCGTGGCTGCTCACCACCTGTGGGGGGAAAAAAAGACCTCAATGAGTCCATAATTTTTAGGGCGGGGGAGTGAGCCAGGTGGTACGCCGCTGACCTTGCGAGCCTGGTCAGCAGCGTGCTTCTTGAGGATGTTTCCGGCTCCGATCATCATCCTAGTGGCTTGGATTCGGTAGAACGCTCGGCTCTTCTGCTGCTGCATCAGAACCTGATTGACAGAGACCACAAGTTCAGAACAGGGGTTCAAGAGCATTTTGGTTCCAAGGGAGCCATTACAGTCTCCAAGGAGCCCCCTCTTAATCCAAATGCCAATGTATCCTAACTACTTTGGACCACGTGAACTTGCAAATGCCACGGAGACTGATTATTTTCTGAATGACCTGATAGTTGGCCATCTCAATGAGCTGCTCCATGTCTTTATCTGGGTGGCGCTGCTTGAGCTCCTTCAGCGTTCTGGCCATGTCCCGTCGGGCCTCGTCCTCCTCGTCCTTGGCCGCGCCCTCTTCTGTCAGTCCGCCGTCCAAAGCGCTGTGGCAGTTCAGCGCCATCTGGCCATCCAGCTCCAGCATGTCCATCTTAGTGAAGCCGCCCTGGCCCAACGCCCCACCCACGCCCGGCCCCGCTTCCGTCTCTATGATGACGCCTCGGTGCTTGTCGGCGCGGTAACGCTTGCGGGTGTACTTGTACAAGAGGAGGCGGCGGTCGGCCACCCAGGCCTGGACCACGCAGAGGGGGAAGAAGAGGAAGGTCAGCACTGCCTCCCATACCTAGAACAATACAAGCAAGCAATTTGAAAACAAGTCTTTTCTATTTTCCTCAGTAATAGTGCATTCAATGTTTACCATTTACAGTACATTTTAAAAAGTCATTTAAAGTAAATTAAAAAAAATATTCCCAGTTCTCTCTCAGACGATCTGTTAGCTTGTTAGCAGCCACAACCAGTCAAATATGACATTACACACATCCTGGCATTTAAAGAGATATGGTCCACCTATCGTGGCAGCTAAGAAGCTAACGTATGTTTAGTAAGGCAAATTACAAAATTTTTTTCACGTGTTTTTGAAGTTAGAAAAAAAAAATTGTCAATTTTTCATTTTTGGGTGTAGTCAAAAAACAGATAAGAGAATAATCATGTCACATTTTCATTTTTGGATTTTGGATACATGGATTCTGGTGCCTCACCTCCACCTCGCCTGGGGAGAAGACGCTGAGGATGAGGTACAACCAAATGTAGGCGAAGATGCTCCAGGCGGCCGTAACGAAAAATACCCGCAGGTGCTTGATCTTGCGCGTCTCGCCATCAGGCACCACGTAGACGCACAGCGCGATGATGACGAACATGTTGAAGGCAGCACTGCCCACGATGGTGCTCGGGCCCAGAGCGCCTGCAGAGAAGTTGTGACCACACACCTGCAGAGAAATCACAAGTTTGCACCAATAAAATGGATGAAAACCCCGAGTTGGCCTGTGCAAATTGGTAAGGAGGCATCAGTCTGTAAGGCAAAAGTGAGATGTACTTCAGTTTTGGGGGCCTGATAAATAGCAAGTGCGGAGTACTTGCGCATGACTCCTGAGGAACGCCGCTTGTACAATGATCGTGCATCACCCATTTCCCCTACTTATTATGCTGCAGACTACTTCTCGTGTTTATGATTTATCGCAAGACCTGTAGATTGTGCAGCACCAACAATCCCTATGCTAACTCTGCTGCTGTCTATGACCATGAAAATGAGCATCAAACATGCTTTTGCCTAATTTCCCGCCATACACTGTGAGGCTCAAGTCCTGTTTTGTCCCGGTCTCGTTTTTCCGGACCTACCTCGATGACGGACAGCAGGATCTCGGGGGCGCTGGAGCCTAAGGCCATGAGTGTCAGATTGGAAACTGTCTCGTTCCAAATCCTGACTGTGGCAGTGGTGGTCTCACCGTTGGGCCTCTTGATGGTTATCTCTTTTTCCTGGGATGTTATGACCTGGAGAGGGAGGGTGCACGGTTCATGAATCCAACCATGTTGCACACATATTTGCACACCTCCAGCTGGGAAGCGCCTACCTCTATGGAGGACATGAATCGATCCGCGATGATGCTCATGCCCAGGAACATATAGACGAGAGCTACAAAGTACACAATTGCCCGAGCCACTTTGTCCCCGACTGACGGGTTTTGGGGGTTCCACACAGGCAGCAGCACACCTAAAACGGGGAAAATAAACTTTAAAAGTTGGAAGCAAATGTGATGCTGGATAAATATACCGGTAATGCATTGCCTTATAATCTTTCCTGCACTATTTATAATAAATTATTTAACAGAGCAAGCTCAGTAACGGTACATTAAAGATTCAGATCAATTCCATAGGGTCGCACATGGATCAAACCGAGGGCGGGGATCTGGTTGACACTCAAGTCATTACATGTCAAATGCAGCCGACCAATAAAAAAATGGAAAAATGCCAGTTTTAGACCCACCATCCTGACACGGGTCCCCGCTGGCTGAGCAGTTCTTCACGGGTGAATGCGCGCAGACGCATCCGGAGCAGGACAGGAGCACAAGTGTGGCGGAACACAACAGAAGTGAGGAGAAGGACGAGGAGGAGGAGGAGGACAGGTAGGAAGCAGGTGGGGGCATTCTGACGGTTCTGCACCACTTCCAACTGGACTGACAAGATGCCAAGAGAGGTGTTCCCAACCTAGAATGAACAAAAACGGCAGACAAAGAGGACCTTGTATCAGACATTGCAGCTCTGTATTATTGCTGATTGAACCACCAATGAAAGCAAGTTGGACACCCCTGAACTATACATTCATATGACCTGAACTAGAGAGAATGGTGGCGCACGCACACACACGCACACACACACACTTTAAGGCATTAGTCGTGTGGTGACAGTAGCAGGGAGTGGTTGCCCTTGTCTTGGTCCATCACGTAAGGTCATGCCGCCGTGACAGCAACCTGTCACTTCAACATGGGGCCAAAGCATAGGGAGCACACATCCCAAACATGCACATACTATACATGCGAACGCAGGCGTGTCAAACATGTTTTCATCACAGGTTACGTGGGAGTTAGGCTTGCCCTCAACAGCAGTGCAAGCGCATCAGCAGCTGGGTTTCCATTGCCCTTGGAAATGCGCCAAATGAAAGTTGCGCACTTGCAAACTTGTAATGGGAGATATAGAAATGTTGAAAAAACTCTCAAATATCGATAAGCAGTTTTTACACTCTCACAAAGTGGTTTTGGAGATGTGTCGATTCCGAAGTGTATTGCAAAAGCGTCATGGAAACACATTTGTGGTGATTCCACTCATCATGTGACTCCACCTGGGAAGTCACATGACTTGCACTGCTCTTATCTTTGTATTCATGGACACTGCACAATATGACACGCTGCACATGGACAGAAGAAGAGACAGACATATTCTGAAAGCTCATTTGGCAGGACACTATCATCTCTCTTTTCGACAGATGGATGCAGAGTGTGATGAGGAGCGACAAAGGAAGATGAGAGGGAAATGGTTCGACAAACCGTGTTAAAACCTCAACAGCAAATGGAAGACTTTGAAGCAACGCTAACTAGCAGAAAGACGCCTGTTGGGCAAGAGTGGAGCCGGGCAAGGCTAAAAGAACGTTTATATTTTACGAATTTCACGGACAGCATTTTGTGAGATCGGCCCATTGTGCAAGCAAGCTTCGTCTTGTTATAAACAGCATGCGCAAGTTGCTCTTGAGTCATTTTTAATGACGAGATCTCACGAGAAGCTAAACGCTCTTCATTGGGAATACCAACAAGTAGAAATGTAGCGACATTTTAGAAAACTCACTTTTATTTTGAAAAAAAAAACTTGAATGGAAACCCAGCTATTGTGTAAGAAAAGTTGGCTATGGGCCTGGGTTTTAACACGTGGATGAAATTATTGCACAATCATCCATCCATGCATCATCAGACCTGCTTATCCTCAAGAGCTGATTTAATGACATTTCAAACGAAACAACAGTTTACCATATTTTCTGCACTATAAGGCGCACCTAAAAGCATTCAATTTTCTCAAAAGCCGACCGTGCGCCTTATAATCCGATGCGCCTTATATATGGATCAATATTCTGATTTCTTCGGCATAGTATGTTAAATCTTCCGTAAAGTACTTTGGTACAGCTGCAGCAGTTGTGAAAGCTCTACATAAATAAAGCTGTATTGTATTGTATTGTATTACCTTAGCGCAGCTCCATCTAGTGGATGCATAAGGAAACCGCAGCCACTCTTGTAGCTTCTGTTCTATGCGCCTTATAACGCGTTCCGCCCTATATATGAAAAGTTGCGCCTTTTACTACGAAGCACCTTATAGTGCAGAAAATACGGTAAATCTTTTCCTTTTAGGAAATAACAATACTAGTTGGTCTTCTTTTGATTCTGATTCTGCTGTCCAATTTTTCTTTCTTTCTTTTTTTTTTTTTTTTTTGTTTACGTGCTGCACTAATTGCCATGACATCCTCTTAACCAGAAGCTGAGCTGTAATGTGTTTGTTCACGGACTAGACATGTTCTTGTTCCTTATTTTATACAATCCATGTGGGATGCCGACTACCCCATCATTCGACAAAATTGTTTTGCCGTGTTTTGAACGGAATGACAAAGCACATACTGTCCAGTCGAGGGCGTCTGTCCTACTCCAAGCCTCGTTTGATTTATGAACTCATTAAGATGTGCGGCCCCATAACTTTTGTCCACGGGGTGTCCCACAAAGGACAAAGCAATCGGGTGCCGGATTTAGTTTGGATTGGCCACCTTCCTCCTCATCTCCCTCGTCATCTGCCACCCCCGGCATGGTCCTCTCTGGCTAAGCACGGTCCTGCGGCCCCACCGACGCACACTCGCGCTCACTTCACATTTCCACCGCCTCTCCACAATAACTCCCTCTCCACGTCCTCCTCACACAGCCTCGCACTCGCTCGCGCTTTTTTTTTTCCCAACGGCCACTCGAGCTTATTGCATCTTGTACGCCGTCAAAATCTCCACGCCAATCTGCCGCCGCATTATGCGACCGAGAACAAGAAATGACCCGTCTGCTGAGCTCTGACAAGCTCTTCAATCCCTTACTTGCAATCGTCCAAAACTAATCTGGCTTGACAACGAAAATTGGTGTCCAAAAAAAAAAAAAAAAAAAAAAAAGAGCGTGACTACCTTTTTTAATTGGGAGAGTTGAGGATTGGATTGAGCAGGTGAAGGCCGAATTAAGAAAGCAGCTCGGGTGTGGAGTAAAATAAAAGCTGGGTTGGAAAAAAAAGTTGTCTATCTGTCCTCTTTAAAAAGTAGAAGAACAGCATTTGTCATCACACTCCAATTCGGAAGCCTTCGTTGACCGTACTCGTGAGTCATATCACATCAGCTACACTTTGCTCTTCTGCCTCGTTTGACACCGCGAGTCCGCACACACGCACACGCACACACACACACACACACACGCGCGCCCACACACGCACACACATATATACACAAAGAGGCATGCACATATGCACACCGCCCTGGGGCAAATGCTGTCTGAGGGTTAAATGAATGTTGATTGGCTGCATCTCGGCATTGCTTGTTTCCTCTTGAAAAGGCGAACAAGACCAAGAAGAAGCCCACATCTGCCTGTCCGCTATTTTCATTGTGCACTTTTCGGCCGCCCGGAATGACAAAGGCAGGCTGGATTTGCTCAGTGTGATGTTTTCATCCAACTATTGTGTTGGTGCTTTGATTAACTTTCGCATGGAACATAATTTGCATGGAGAAGGCTCTCTGCGATCACGATTGCCGTCTTTCACAATATCCCATAAAAATTTTTTTTAAAAAAATGGAAGTACACATACCGAATGGTCATGCTTGAAGAAAAAAAACAATACATAGCCCCATCAAAGTTGGAGCATGAATGTCAAAATGTGCATAATTTTAGCACAATTTTAAAACCTAAATATGGAATATTAAAAAAAAAATAGAGCCAATTTGGAAAAAACAACATGTCAGTTTCCGATTCACCAATAACAAAATCCTCTTGAACTGGTGAAACCTTCTTGGCACTTAAATGTGTGTTGACCGGTGTGACTGAAAATAAGAAGCTTTGTCAGATTCAAGTTTTTTTTTCTTGTTTTTTTTTTTTTAATTTTTGACTGTGCGCTCATTGACAACTCCGTGCAACTGGTACCATTAGCGAGTGGCGACATGATGAAACTATAATACTTTTGCCTCACCAATAGCATGGGAGTTGTTCCATTAGTGCACACATATGTCATATGCTAGCAGGAGGCAGTCGTACCAATAAGAAACAAACAAAAGTGAGAATGCTGATCAAATCCCAGAAAGAAACTCAAAGAGTAAAAATGAGCGTGGCTCAGGGAGGTTCATGATGTGATGCGTAATTAGTCAGATCTGAGGGCCGCCGCGCGCTTCCCGAGAGGGCCGCCGATATCCTGAGCTGTCCGAGCCGGTTAGGGGAGGCCGCCGAGTTGGCCTGGCCCTTCCAAGGCAATCCAGCGGAAGGAAAAGCAGCCGGGGTTGACGGCACTACTCCTTTACGCATTCATCACTAAGCCCGCGTCGGAAGGACATTAGCACGCGTGCACGCACAGACGCAAACATGACATCATGTGTCACGGCATGCTGGAACATGTGGCGGAAATGTCACAATTTGGAGTTGGGAACAACATTCGCAATTGTGAAAAAATGAGCGCCGAAAAATAGTCGCCCAATTCACGTTCCGCCGCTACAAATACAAAATGAAAACATTTCCATTGTACAAGTAAATGGAGTTAAGTGCTTGTCCATATTTCAGTTTGTACGGGCGCAGATGTTTGGCTTTTGTGGACAGAGGAAGGTTCAAGTTTACATTCTGATTGCTGGTGATTCACCAGCAGACTCCGTGTGAATGTGTGTGTGTGTGTGTGTGTGTGTGTGTGTGTGTGTGTGTGTGTGTTTGTGTGTGTGTGTGTGTGTGTGTGTGTGTGTTTGTGTGTGTGTGTGTGTGTGTGTGTGTGTGTGTAATGTGTACACACAGCCAAAGGTCACACGCAACACGCACATGCAGACAGAGTGCAGCATGTTCAAGCATGCATCATATGACGCACGGAAGGTCGCATCAAGCCGACCCCAAGGTCAACTTTTCTCACTACGGCAGTAATATTCGTTGTTCTTTGCACAAGATAAAGAAGATATGCCTGTTAGTATAGTGTGATGTTATCGGTTTACAAGATGTGTTGCTGCACCGATGCTCGTTAGCCCACAAGGTGTTTCCCATTGTATGTTAGCATTAAGCTAGCGAAGGGGATGTATGTTTACTTTTCAATAAAGATCTTGAAATCTCTTTTATGAAAACCTGTTCACAAATTAACTAATATGTTGAACTGCTGCTTGGTGTGAAGCGAGTTGGGTCACTCCCACCATACAGCGCTCGTATTGCAAGTTTGCCCTCGCAGCTCAAAGCAAAAGAAAAAAACCCATCAAATCGACAGCTTGTATCTAAAAAAAATAAAATAAAAATTTTAACCCGGGTCTTTTGTGTCTCAAAAAATAAAACTATGACTGTATTTCATAGATATCCACTTCCTTTTATGGTATTCTACTTTTGATATATCATGGACAAAAATGTGCACATTTTGATGGAAAATCTATCTTAGGTATTGTACAATTTTGAAAAGTTGGACTTCTTGCTTCCAGGATG